TGCCACCTTCAGCAAGGAGACCCACGATTTGGACAGCTGACAAGCTTTGATCTCCTCGCACAACGATGCAGATGGACGCTTGTGGTATCGTCTGTTATACAAAAGGAATAAAAGAGCAATGCTATACACAAGCCAAACCCACAAACATTGAAAGGCCCCTGATTGTGTCCAACTTGACTGTGATTGTGAGCCACCGAGTCGTAATAAAGGCGCATGGGCTGCAGCCCAGGATCCTGAGCTGAGACGATGCCACAAGCAAGACTCCCCACCGCCAACCCAAACCCTGGTCGTTCACACTTTTCTTACAACTGGAAAATGAAATCGACAAGCAATTCACAGCCATGTAGACGGCGGTTAAAATACTGAAATTAGTACTACAGCTAGTTTCGAGCATGTGGTACCGCTGAAAGCCATCTGCGATCTGGATTACATGCCATATAGAACATTTCACACTTTTGCAGTTTCCTTATTCTGTTCAGTCTACTGTTAAGTTTATTTGCTTATTTTAACCCCCCCCTGCGTTTCTGTTTCGAGTCCCTCCCCCTTGCAGTCACCCCACCCCACCTCCGCCCTTCCCTCTCATCACCCACCCTAGTTTTTTCTTGCCTCTCTGTCCTTGTTAGCACGAATTGCAGCATATCTGTATTTTCAGCGAATACTTATTTGTTCTGTGTCTACTTTTCCAAACCCGGAAAGTCGGTGCGGCTCGGAGGCGGCAGAAGGTGAGTGCCACAGGTGTGAGTCCTATTTTCAGCACAACGTGATTCATGTTTTGTGTCCAATGCTGCCTTAGCTCGGCTCTCTTCCTCTCACAATGTCTTTTTCTCCCCCTCCTGTCTAATTGCACCTCCACCGCTCCCCATCCTCAATGTTCTCCCTTCTTTTCTATGGAAATCAATTCCGTCAGCCGTCCTTAAACTAGCGAGCACCAATCTCTTTTGTGAGAGAGGATGTTAGGAGCCTTAAAGCAGCATTTGTAAAATGAGCTTTCCTTTTTAATAACAAAAAACTTTGTTGTAAGAGTTTTCTGTTCTTTATACAAATACCATGATTACGTTAATATATTACACGGTGATTTCCAGTGAAATGAAAGTTATTGTCAAGTGCTGAGTTCCAGTGCCAATGTAATTTTGTCATGCAATGTATATTTTGCATAAGATACATGTCTATAAATTGATTGTGTAAAACATACTTTGATATTCGAGAGATGTGACGTTACATAAGATGCATATTTTGTTTTTTAAAAAATCGACAGTTTAGTGTTGCATGTGATTGCACTACTGCACTTTGATTCACCATTTAACTTGATACTCTAAATATTTTTCTTTTTTATTTTTAAATTTGTATTCATCTTTTACAATGTAGCATTGGTGGGAAAGCACGCAGAGTTCATTGTATGTGTACATTGACGATAAAGATTTTCTATTCTGTGTGTAACATGATATATATGATATGTCTATAGAGTATTAAGTGCAAACAATGTATGATATACATTCCACTCTTTATAATGCATTTGTGGTGTGTATTCTGCCATATAGATGCTTATATATAGAAAATGGGAAACTTATACAACAATCTTCTAAAGTCTGTTTGATTGGGCTGAACAGCCATTTCCTGTTAGTCTATGCTTGCAAACGGTAGCAGGTAGGATGCTTTGGATTTTACTTTTAAAAGGTGGCATAAAATCCAGTCAATTTAGAGTATAAATGTCTTTCTCCTCTCTTGATGATGACTTATTTGAATATTGTTTTAATTTTGAGTTTTAGGCAATAAGCACAAGAAAATTTTTTTTTGATAATTTATCCTGAAATACAGTGTGCACACACACGCGCCTACCATAGAGATAGAAAGTCAATCTAACTGCAAGCCGTTTTTGTGCAATTTGTATTTGGCACAGTGAATAACCAAATGCTGACAGTATATCCAGTAATTCATGTGGAAGTGCCATTCTACTGAGGCGTGGCTGTAACATTTTTCTTTCTCCTCCGTAGGCACAATGAGTGAATCACAAAGCTCTCTAACCACTGTGATACTCCTGATTTTCCTGCTGGCCATCCTCATCGTGGCACTGATATACCTGTATAAGAAGCTGAACCGGGAAACAGATGACAAGTACACGGTACATGAGCTCATCTATGGTGAGGATGGGGCTCGACAACGCCTGCAGAACGGCGTACAGGCCCTCGAAAGCTCGCTGGGGATCCGGATTTGGCCCCGCAAAAGAGAAGAGGCAGAGGGAGAAGATGTAGAGGAACAGAGAGAGGAGCATCAGGAGGACAGAGTGGAGGTTCCTGACATTGAGCAGGGTCAAGAGCATGATGAGACGAGCCTGGACAAAAAGGCAGAAGAAGAGGACGACTCGGATGACTATTCCAGCATGGAAGGGGTCGACCTGAGAGAAAAGGCAAAGCTGAAGGAGAACATGGAGGAGGGAGAGAACGAGGAAGAGGAGCGTGAAGGAGGTGGTGCTGGCTCGGGGGTTGGTGGTGGACTTTTGGTGGACTTGAAGCAGTTTTCAGGTAGCGCAATCTGGCAGGAGGAGAAGGTTGAAGTGACGGTAGACAGCTGTGACCTGACTGCCCTGTGAAAGATGGAGCCTTCCCCAGCAGACACGGGTTGGTGGTTATGGGCAGGTATAGGTGTGTCTGTCTAAGGAATACAGAGAAACAGCAGCGGAAGGAACAGAGTAACATGATGTTGTAAGGTAACAGTGGTCAATGTTTTGTATAGGATAGGACATTTTTGCTTTGTACAGTTTTATAGTTAATTTACATGTGTTTTATACGAAATGTATTTTAAAAATAAAAAATATTTTAAAGGAATATTTGCTTGTGCCAGAATTATGGTAAAAAGGAAACAAACACAATGACAAATGTTAACATACTGAAATTTGATAAGTGAAATGCAATGAGAATATCTCACAAAATAATACATGTTGCTGTGGTTAACAGTGATTCATGGAGGGATTTTTAGCCTATACATATTATTACACAATCCTGATGTGATTCAGAAATCATCTTTCCATCCAGAGATATAATTCTCAGTGCGTGGGAAAACTCCAATGAAAACCACCCTGGAAGTATATGATGGATGGATGAATTAATGTCTGTTTCTTTGTTATCTCAATCAAATATTTCATTGTTAATTTCATCATGTGGCTCATTGGGTAGGCCTTAGGCCTCGGTGCCTGTGATTAAAAGGTTGCCAGTTTGAAATCCCATCCTTGCCACAATAGTCACATCTCCATTGGATCCTTGAGCAAGGTCTTTGAGCAAAGCCCTTAACTTTCATCTATCCAGGGCTGCTGGATAAATGGGTGATTCTGTTCTTAAACCCCAAGCTTCATTCTCAATTTTGTGTGTGTGTGTGTGTGTGCAGGTATACCTATCCTTATGGGGACACAATTTCCCCATGACGTGATAAATATCCATTTTTTTTCCTGCACTTGCTGTGAAAACAGCAAACCTTGTCCCCATAAGGGAAAACTGTGTTTTATAAAAATCGGTGACTGCTATGAAAAAATTAAAAATGCAAAAATATTGTATTTTGTTTGGTTACTTATGGTTAGGGCTGGGTGGGGGTTAAGGTTGTCATAGTTAGCGTTAGCATTTTTCCCATAGAAGTGAATGAGCAGTCCCCATAAGGATAGGTATACCTGACGTGTGTGTGTGTGTGTGTGTGTGTGTGTGTGTGTGAAAGGGATAAACCATGATGAGCTATGCAGTTCTATGAAAATAATTAATGACAATTTGGTGTAATGAAATGGGGGGAGGGGGGTGGTGGCGCTGCTAACCAAGTTGGATTTGATTATTTTCATATAACCTGTGGTTTATACGGCATATAGCATGGTTAACGAACAAGAAAATAATAATGAAATAAACTTGTCATTGTTAATTCTTCAGAAGAAAATTATTTCAGTTAGCATTTAATAGTGTTCCTAAGTGCTCTTAAAAATATAGTCCCTATAACGACAGAGTATCTGGTCAGGCTACTCACTGGAAGTGGCGATTCCGTTACGTTACCATAAAACTGTCAACAGACAGGTGCTTGGGTTCTGAAAACCATGGAAAATTATCCTGATACGAATGACTGCTTATTTGTGAGCAAAAACACACAGTTTTTTATATGCACACATTTAATGAAACAATAAAACGTATTAATATTAGACTGCTAGAACTACCTGTGCGGTTACACGAAAATAGTCAACACCCACATGACACCTCTGGACCAATAAGAAAATAGTGTTTATCAAAGCCGTGGTCATGGGCGTCGTAAAGTAGGGGAAAGTCAGGACGATTCCAAGGGCCCCTGAGTGACTGTGGCCCTAAAACATTTGGAACATAATCCGATTGATATGGGTTGAGGCCCAAAACCTTTAGCAGCATCCCTGGCCACGGGGTGAATATGTACATATACACAGTATATGTGTGCCCGTGGTATATATATGTACATATACACAGTATATGTGTGCCCGTGGTATATATATGTGCGTATACACAGTATATGTGTGCCCGTGGTATATATATGTACGTATACACAATATATGTGTGCCCGTGGTATATATATGTACGTATACACAGTATATGTGTGCCCGTGGTATATATA